ATGTTAATAAAAAATTCCTGAAATAGGTACTCGCTCATTTTAAATTCTCTTTCAAATCCAGTTATCAGATTAATTTTATCTAGCATAGTTTTTGCTGTACATACAATGACTGTTTATTCCCTTAAACATAGTGTAGAGACATAATGTCTTCGAGAAAATAATCAAAACCAAATTCTACAAATACTTAATAAGCAATATTTACACGAAAAACCTATTGATTATTAATATTTAATGTCATTAATTGAGACATTTTGATAAAATATTTAAGTTTTAACTGTTTTAAAGTTTTAAGTTTTTTATTGTAGAAATAACTGCTAGCATATAAGGCCCATAGACTGGAAAATAATTTAAGGTGGTCGTCTACTAAAATCTGAATAATTCTGTTATAAGCATTGTTATTATTTTAGTTATTATTTTAGTTATTAATTGGATATTAAACAACACTAAACAGTCTTTTATTTGACACCCAAAACATAAGTTTCTTTCTTAAAATAAAAAAGTTATTACAATTTGAAATCGTTAAAATTAATCCGGAACATGTTTTGTATATATTGTTTTAAATAGAAATATTTTTGTATCATGAAGTATAATATTATACAAAATCATTTCAATATTTATAATTTTGTCTAATTTAATTTAATTTAAATAAAAAAGTATTAGGATATATAACATTATTGTTTAATTATATTAATGTACTGTACCGTACTCTCTATAATAAAATATTATAATTTTAATATTAATCGCAATATAATTATAAATTATGTATTACATATGCAGTATTATGTATGCTAATACATGTGCTTTCAGTTTTGACATTGACATTTAAACTATAGTTAGTAATAGTAACTTACTGTATATCGATACTACCCTGTTATATTATAGTACAATTAGATCATATTGTTTTAATTAAAATATTTGTATGTTATGATAAGTTATCATTGATAGCTGTAAAAAGTATGCAATACTTTGTCTTTCTATACGTTGGGTTTACGCATGATACAGTAATATACTGATAAATTATAAGTTATAACTCATAGAGGTACTGGGCTCACTTCAACTTTCTATTGCACATATCATAGCAAATATGACCTTGACAACTCCGTATGCACTATTCAATAATATCAAATTATTTTATTACACTTTAATTGAGATAATATTTTCATAATAGATTGTGATAAATAAAAACCTTGGCAAGTTCATTTAATAAGTGTGTATATAAACACAGATTTGAACTAGTAAATGTCACAAATACTTTAATACTATATTAAATATTTTGTAATTTAGTTATATTACTAGTTGTCTACTTGTTTGAAATGTCTCTCACATTCAACTTCAGCGGTAAAGTAGTGCTGATCACAGGCTCGAGTTCAGGTATCGGTGCCGCCAACACCAGCGCCGGCGTTGTTTACCAAAACATCGAGTTTCCC